TCAATATGTAATCACGTGATACACCACATTACTCAGATACTCACAACAATAACTGATGACTACCATAGCTTATCCCAAAGCAAATCCGTTACCGGTAGTAAACCTCATCTCAACCAATATAAGCAGCCCAACCGACAAGTCACACCAAAAGTCATAATAAGCCCCACACAACGCTATTCTGTACACGAAACAAGTAATAATTCAGACATGACAGATAATAGTAAGAAAATTAACAAGATGGCTACTAAGCAAGTTAAGCAAGCAGGGAAATTAACATTTTCCTATGAACTATTTTCAAACAAGAGCAAAACACACGAAATAAGCATAAAGAATTTCATCTTATCATAGTGCAATTGTGGCACGCAACCCGATCCAATAACAGTAACCGGCTCTCCTAGAGCTCACATTAATATCAACCACACGGACAACTCACGTTTTTGCACGAACAACTCATATGTTATAATACAATATCTAGATCCACATGGACAACTCACGTGCACAATTACATAATCCGCCCGGTATAGTCACAGGCCTCCAGTATGAACAAATTATACAGAAGCGGTTAAACAAGTATACACATATATGATGAATGGAATAAGATTCTCATGCTCCTGGACTGGTATAAATGACATGCTAAAGTGTAGGCATATGCAATGTATGCTATCATAGCTCAATTCGGTAAGTTACCACATAAATTTTTAATCACCAAATTTTTATTCAGGGAGTTAACCTCTTCGTAACCTCAAGTATGGCTCAAATAGTTCACAACTATGATACAATTATGAGAAAACATTATATCTTTAAGCTTACAGTCAATTCTAGTCATATCATAGCCTTAGCATTTTTCCGAGCATGAATAAATACCTTGGTGCTCGCACATGGGCTTAGGCCCATACATATGTGCACCCGTAGCGCGTGGCTATCACAATGAATTCAGGCAACTATTGCCTCAACCAAGTTTAAGTAAGATACTCAATTAGCCAGGAACCTTTGACATGATCCCATCCAGTAGAAGATCACAATACACAGTATGCTCCTCACGTTGGTAGGAAATATCCACCTCAAATCGTGGTAGAAACCATCAAGAATACTTTGAAATCAATTTGCACATAACCAAGCTATCATAACTGAATTCCTCTAACTCGACCAAGCCACACATGTCACCAAACCCAAGAATATTGACACCAAAACATCTGTAGAGCCTCACCACGACATAATTACCCCCATAAGTACCACAACCGAGACACCCACTCTGAAAAGACCTTATGTGTATTTAAAATTATTCTTTTTACCTTTCTTATACTGAAATGTAGAATCCATAGTCATACAAAATTATCGCAAGTCCCGACACCATCCAATGTAAATAATCAATTTTAGCGATATACATATCCGAAAAGTTTTCAATTGCCACATATACATTTTGAATGCATTAAAAACCTCTCGAGAGTCATCCACTCTACTCAAATCTCAATTGTACCGCCCAAGCGACCAAACGATTTGTGCCCCACTAGCACAACAACACCCAATGAAGTAAATCCCACCTTAGCGCAACCGATCAATTTTATACTCCGTGCGCACTACATCTCAAGTCATAACTGATCCACAAATACCCCTCAGACCAAAAACTAATATTTACCACATAACCATGCGATCAAATCGTCATAGCAGGCTCCCCCACTTGGCTCAAGGCCATAGGGTAAAAAATTTGATAACTTACAAGACTCATACTCTATTACTTCCATAATCCAGCATCGAAATTCAACTAAATCCTTCATAAGCTCATGTGGCACACGCCATATAATACCTCAAATTATCTGCTAAGCACACATTCATTCTTGTGATGGTCAGGTCGACTTCCTTGACCATTTCAAATTCAAATCTCAACACATACACCCCGCTGGTAGAAAAGAAAGTCTCCACACAACATCATAATGATTGCACATCCGTAGTTTACCCCGCATGTGATAACCCACATGCTTAGCTTCAAACTGACATCTCTCCATAACCTTTCACAACCACAACTACTACGCCATCACTTAAGCTTCCTGGGTCTGAACTCACCACAAGACACGAAACAATCTACTTCGTTCCCCAATTAAACAACATGAAAAATCTTTCAACACATTCATACTCGAGACTATATGTCAAATCAAGACATACACCAAATACCCAATAGACTATTTTTCATCACAATGAAACACTTCTATTCATATTCAAACCATCTTAACACATCCCGCAGTCACATCATACTCATCGTATGGCCATTCAACCTCTCATCGAGCCAAAAATTCCACTCATAGGGATACTACTGGACATATGAGTCGAAATGTACAAGTCACAACTGAAGCTACCGAGCTTAAGCTGCGGTCTAACCCTGGCCTCAAGTCCTCCAAACTAGCCCATCACCAAAACACAGAATACTCATCTCGAACCTCGTTTATGGAACCACAAGCCGGCGATGCAAAACTAATACCGAGCAGTCACATGTGCGCACGAATGCGTGGAAGGAATTCAAAGAGTTATGTTTCAAACGGAATCAATTTCGCATGATAAGGAAAGAAAGATGGGAAATTATCCTAAATGCCATGTTGCCTCTCGAAGATAAGTATGGACGTCACCATACCGATCTGCAAGACTCTACTAGACACTTGCTCATGACTTGCAGAGCCTATGAACCTAGAGCTCTGATACCAACCTATCACGATCCAAAATCCGACCAGTCGTGATGGCACCTAACCTAATCCGGTAGGTAAGCCAATTAACTACAATCTAATTTAATTAGGTTTATCGAGGAAAATAAATGATAAAATAACTGAACCTTTCTACTTTTTCCAAGGACTAGTAGTACAACTCATGAGCTTCTTTACATTTAGAATTTGCAAAGCTGATATGAAATAAAATACAACATCTGTTTGAAATATACATGAACAGATTAATAATTCTAAAGCTACCAAGAACAATAGGAAGCTAAGACCGAATTGCGGAAACATCTTCAATGCTAGCTCCCACTATACACCGCAACATCAACATCCAAAATCTGCACACAAGGTGCAGAAGTGTAGTATGAGTACAACCGACCCCATGTACTCAAAAAGTATTTTGTCTAACCTCGTCGAAGTAGTGACAGGGATTTTGAGTAAAACGATACTCACTGTTATAACCTGTGCAGTATACTAAAAATAGAAAAATTATAGAACATAACAGATAAGGGTACAATGAAACAAATATGCGAGGTAGAAAAATATTACTAGGAGAAATCACAATAGCAAATTCAAAACTTTCATGGTGTGAGAAATATATTCAAGATATCACATAAAATGGCACGGTAACACCTTAGTGCATTTATCTCAATAAATTCATAACTTTCCTGATATGAGGAATATATTCAAGATATCATATTGAATGGCATGGTAATACCTTCGTGCACTTGTCTCATTCTCACCCTATATATATATATATATAGATCAAATCAATTAGCACGGCAACACCCTTCGTACATTTATCTCTTTCTCACCGAGCATACATTTAGATTTGTTTAACAAATGATAATTTTTTATAGTTACTTTACAGTCTTTATCCTTAGTCCAACTTGTTAAAGATATACAGAGACTTGATTGGCCTTTAAACAAAAAACCATGGCATGGTAGAATATATTGTTGTTGTAATGGCTTATTTCTCATTGGGATTTGGAGTAAACCTAAGGAGGAGAATTCTATGTTATTTCTATGGAATTCCTCCCCAAGAGAATCGATAGTACTTTCTCATTCAGAATTGCCACCAACAGAATTTTTTATTTACGGATTATAATATGACTCTACTAATTAGGATTGATGGATATGCTAATGCACAAGATGAAATTCTCATATTGGAAAATGGTTCATGGAGAAAAATTGATGAAATCCCAGATATGACGGATGGCTCGTTATTGATTTCTAATATGGACTGTTTGGCATTCGTACATGGAGCATTTCATTTGATTGTTTTTTTACCAAGGTTCTCTGTGGTTTCATTTAATTTTTCAACTAAGATCTACAGAGAAATATTGTTGCCAAAGATGATGCACAAAGATAATGTGGGCGTATCTGTGTTACAAGGAATGCTTTGTGTTTATTGTAACGATAAGAGAACTTTTAATTTATGGGAAATAAAAAATTATGGTGCGAAAGAATCTTGGACGAAAATATTCACTATATCGAGTAATGGGATTGATATCATACCAATGTATAGGTTTTCAGGTGATGCAGTGCTAGTGCTACTAAGAGTTGGCACAAATTCGGGAAGAGTTGTATGTAGACATATGATGAATCATTTGGATTAAGCAATCGTATGTGGCCTCTGGATTATGATGAAATTTATGCACGTACCATTTAGGATAGTTTTGTTTATACAGAAAATTTAATCTCTCCAAAATTGGATTACTAAATCATATGTTAGCCATCTAATAATAAGTACGTTTCTCATTACGTATTATTACTATTCATTCATGTAAGATCGAGGTAGGGACTTTTTTTCATATTACAAACTGTTATTCTTCGGTATGAGATATATATAGTAGTCTCTATATAGGCGTAATTACCTACTTTCATTGCTGAAATGAGTAAATTTCATGGGTAGTCATTCAATTTTGTATTCACTACTCAAAAGTCATTTTTTTTCTTTTGTTACGTAAAAGTCATTCAATTTTGTGTTCACTACCCAAAAGTTAGTTTTCTTTCTTTTGTTACAGAAAAATTATTTTACTATGCTCTAGTTATCACAATAGTCACTTTGACTAGATTTTACAAACATTTCACCTGAAAAGTCTATTATACCCTCGACATTATATATCCTCCCATTTATGCAACACCTTCTATATTGTATGCTATATAATCCCCATATATTACCCTTTTTTTACAACTTATTTACCAAATTACCACTCACCCACCAAATTCTACACCTACTCGTTAGCAAAATCTACCCCCAAGAATCTTACATCATATATAAATGATCCTAAACCCAATTTCAGATCTCCTCCTCCCATAGATCCTCTTTTTCTCTATTTACAGATACAGAAAAAGTTGTCATCTTTTTTTATAAAGAGAAAAAGAGGAATCAAGAATTCAGAAAATGGCTTTATCAAACACCTTATCATTGTCATCATCAAAATCCCTTGTTCAATCTCACCTTCTCCACAATCCCTCCTTACCCCAGCCTCGTATTCCCGTTTTTCACAACCCCCAACATGGGCGGCGCCACCCCATCTCCGCCGTACACGCGGCGGAGCCCGCCAAAACAGCAACTGCTTCACAGCCGTTGAAAAAAACCCAATGGAGTCTTGATTCTTGGAAAAGCAAAAAGGCTTTGCAATTACCTGAATACCCAGATGAAAAAGAACTTGAATCTGTGCTTGAAACTCTTGAATCTAATCCTCCACTTGTGTTTGCTGGTGAAGCTAGGAATTTAGAAGAGAGACTTGGTGAAGCTGCTTTAGGAAAAGCTTTTTTATTACAAGGTGGTGATTGTGCTGAGAGTTTTAAGGAATTTAATGCTAATAATATTCGTGATACTTTTAGGATTCTTCTTCAGATGAGTGTTGTTCTTATGTTTGGTGGTCAAGTTCCTGTGATTAAGGTAATCAAGATTCAATTTTTATGCCTCTTAAATTCAATTTATTAGCTGAAATGTGTGTTTTTCTGTTGCTTAAGCTAACCAAGATTGAATTTTTATAACTCTTGTATTCTAATTCTGTGTTATGATTAGCTAAAATGTGTGTTTTTCTGTTGTTTAAGATTACCAAGATTAAATTTTATGACTCTTGCATTCTAATTCTGTGTTATGATTGGCTAAATGTGCGTTTCTGTTGCTTAGTGTAACCAGTATTCAATTTTTATGACTCTTAATACTCAAATTCTGTGTTTTAATTGGCCAAAATGTGGGTTCTTCTGTTTCTTAGTTCTCATTTTTTGGATCTGTGTGGATATGGTGGCTATTGTGTTTGCACTCATTTTCTTTTTAAAATGTCATAGAGTAATTTCATTTTTGGATGTTCCAAAATGTTTGACACTGTTCTATTGCTATGCAATTTTTACAACTTTCAAGAGTTTAATTCATTAAGCTATTCAAATTTTAAGCTTTGAGACGAGGTTCTTTGTAGAGCTATTTCAACCAATATTTCAGTATTTCCATCCCTATATTTTAATATGATATATAAGCCAAGTGAAAATCTTGAACTCTGTATTTAGCATTTTATGTGAAATGGAACCGAGGGAGTAGGTGTGTATATATATAAATGTAATTATATGTGTGTCTGCGTGTGTGAGTATGTAGGTAGTGTGGGTGCGTTATGTTTGTAAATATTTGTTATCGTGTGGTGTGTGTTTGTTATGTGTATGTGTATACAGATACACATAATGTGTATATGTAGAATATATTTGCTTTAGTCAAGTGTCTGAGTTAATAATTGTAGAATATCTGGTTACTTGAATTGGTATGATGACGATCATTACAATGAGCTTCTTGATAGAAAAAAGATAATGAAATTAAGCTTAAATTGTTACATGGTTAATTATAGGTTGGAAGAATGGCGGGTCAGTTTGCGAAACCAAGATCAGATCCGTTTGAGGAGATTGATGGAGTGAAGCTGCCAAGTTACAAGGGTGATAACATTAATGGCGATACATTTGATGAGAAGTCAAGAATTCCAGACCCTCATAGGCTTATTAGGGCTTACATGCAATCTGCTGCGACTCTTAACCTTCTTAGGGCTTTTGCTACTGGAGGTTATGCTGCAATGCAGAGGGTCACCGAATGGAATCTTGATTTTGTGGAGAACAGTGAGCAAGGAGATAGGTATGAAAACTGTAATCTTTAAGTTTATGGCAGATTCTCTTCTTCAGCAGTTAATCTTGTTTTACGTGACTACCGAATGTCTTTCTGAGATGAAAATTGGAAAGAGTTCCATGGTTATGCTTGGTCTATAGCACTGCAACTTTATATCATTTTAATGACTTCTCAATTGGACTTGGGCCTGAAGTCAAGGGCGGAGATAGAAGCTCATATACAAGTTCGGCCGAACCCAATAGCTTCTGGTCAAACAATGTATTTGTGTCAGGAAATTTATTAAGTAATGTACAGATTTTAAATTTAGAACTCAGTTATTAGCACTTGAAGTCGTCGTTCTAAAATGCAGAACCCATAAGTAGAAATCCCGGCTCCGCCACTGGCCAAATCTGCCAAGTTTTTACCTTTACTACTTCAAGTGTCTATTTCAATTGCATATTCTGCAGTGTAGATTGGGTTAGTGAAGACGATGTTAAGTCTAATATGTTTATATTGGGGAATATTTTGCAGGTATCAAGAACTAGCTCACAGAGTCGATGAAGCCTTGGGATTCATGGCTGCTGCTGGACTCACAGTAGACCACCCTATCATGGCAACAACTGATTTTTGGACATCTCACGAGTGCTTGCTTCTTCCTTATGAACAAGCACTTACAAGGGAGGATTCAACTTCTGGTCTTTTCTATGATTGTTCCGCTCACATGATTTGGGTTGGGGAACGAACCAGGCAACTTGACGGTGCTCATGTTGAGTTCTTGAGAGGAGTAGCAAACCCACTTGGCATAAAGGTATGCATAGCTTAAAGCAGTTTCAGACATCCAGTGCAATATGCTAATAGAAGTATTACTAATTTACTCTGTTCGTTGCAAAGCAAGTAGGTAAGAATGAAGTAAAATGCAGTGGAGGAAGCAGAATTTTAGAACTAATGCATTAGTTCTAATTTTTTTTTTCCATTTCAAAAAAGAAGTTCTGAATTAATGCATCTCCAATTCTCCACTATTTTACGTTCCTGTAAAAAATAAATTATGCATCTCCGTTGAAGTTCCTTTTGTTTTAATCACTTCCTCTTATTTATCCCATTGACAATTGTGAAGTGTAATGTTGCCTGCTAGTGTTATTGTTGGAAATTCTCGCACAAAGCAATATTTGTACTAGTAGATAAAATGAGGGACCATTTGTTTGATTTATAAATGTTTGTAGCTGAAATTGATCAATAAAGTTAATCTTACTGAATAACTGAAGCACCCATACGCTTTCCTTTCAAACTGTGCTTGAATATACGTGGTGACCGAAAATATAAGCCATGAATATGATCTCTTTAGTTATTCTGATGTCTTTATCTAAGCATCATTTGATGTTTACGTCTCCCGTAATATTAATAAAAATGGAGTTGCCTGTTTATATATGTATAAGTTGCCTGAAGATGGAAATTTATTGCAGGTGAGCCAAAAGATGGATCCAAATGAGCTCGTTAAACTCATTGACATCCTGAACCCAACCAATAAGCCCGGAAGAATTACTGTAATTGTGAGAATGGGTGCTGAGAATATGAGAGTGAAGCTTTGCCACTTGATCAGGGCAGTTCGAGGAGCTGGACAGATTGTTACCTGGGTTTGTGACCCGATGCACGGCAACACCATAAAGGCACCATGCGGACTCAAAACCCGTGCTTTCGATTCAATCCTGGTAAGTTTCATCTGTGGCATTTTCTCATTCTGATTCTTGGGTAGAGTTTAAAGCCTGTATCTGAATATCATATTGTACTAAACTGGCAGGCTGAGGTCCGAGCTTTCTTCGATGTGCATGAGCAAGAAGGGAGCCACCCTGGTGGTATCCATCTAGAAATG